ATGTGCAACGCTCCCATCCATGAGATCTTTGATGGTCTGGGTGTCATGATTAAAGAAGTTCTCAAACTAGCCTAACCATTTATTTATAAGTAAATACATCACAATTATTTAATTTTTTTAATAGAAAAGGAGAAACAGAACAAAAACCATCTGTCAATGTATGCGTTGTTGTGGTAATCTATTGTCAATAAAACTGAACCCAAAACATTTCCTTGCTCGTGTTGATATTTTACACTTGAATATGGAATATATTATATTGTACCAATGATACAACTGTGGAAGATGTAATGTTTTGTGAAGGAGAGCCACTGGTATGAAGCCTTTGAGGACAATATAGTACTCTTTAACGTGCATAAGAGTGCATTCACAACACGTACAGTATAAATATTTATTTTAGGTATGGGATTGACTTCTCTTTAATTTTTGATATTTGGGCTCTTTTTGATTGGCTACTGGGGTAGTTTTGTTATGCAGACCTGGCAACCTCATACTACAAGACGTATCATGATACACAGGCTATACTCACAATATATTTATCAATAATGGTGTTACGCACCTTCAAACAAGTTTGTTTTAAAGGGGCAACATTGAGGTTGTGATCAGGAGATGGTGTACGTTACAATGGCAAGAGACGACCCATACCCAGAATTGTGAAAAATATAAAGTATGATTTATTTGACAAATGATATATTTAATGCAAAAATAAACAAAGATAATAATAATGAATAACTCTTGTGGTGGGCAAAGAAAATATAAAGAATCTCCCAACTATAGAATTAAAAAAAAATAAGTCAAGAGTATAAGGACATAAAGTGAAGCCAAATAAAAGAAAGGAACAAAACAAACAACGATTAACTAAACCACCTCTTAGCTAACTAATAACAAAAAGAAAATAAAAGACAAAGATCTTCAGCGCAAAGCGCCCTCTCTACCTGCACTAACTAATGACAAAACATACAAAAGGTGGCATTCACTCTCTTACCTGGTGTAGTATACATCGAGTTTACTAGATGTTGTTTTATGTACGTCACGTGACATTTTACCTGTCCAAATTACTCTTGGTAACCTCAAAACACGCCATCAAGGCAGAACAAATTACTCTTGGTAATCTCAGAACACGCCATCAAAGGCAGAACACGTTAAACTTGGTAACCTCAAAACACGCCATCAAAGGCAGAACACGTTAAACTTGGTAACCTCAGAACACGCCAACAAGGCAGACAAAACAAAACAGGATAATAACGTACATACAAGCGGCCATCAACACACAGAAAGAAACAAAAGCTGTCTTGCGTTCTTCTCCCGCTTCCCTTTAAACTCGAACATTGAACTTCATAGGCTGCGGGAGGGAGATGACGTCATGATGTAAATGAAGATTGACATCTCTCTCAGCCAACAGCAGACAAGGGATGACGCAAACCTAAGAATGGGATAGTGGTAGAAGAGAAATAGAAACCGAAAGAAAAACATACAACCACAGGGACGTAACAAATGGTTATTAAAGTATTCCTTTCATTAACAAATGTCATTTTCCTAGTTTTCCTACTGTAAAAAATGTTTTTCTTTTGTCAAATCAACTTAAATAATTTATTTAGTTCAGATAACTTATTATTTTGAGTTTCTGGTGATTAAATGAATCTCCTTTGTTGTTTTAACTCACTTTTTCCATTCCAATCAACTTAATTTAATTTACTTAATTTTTTAAGTTAAACCAACAATAGTTTTTTACAGTGTATATATTATTTATTTTTTGACATTAAACAGAATAGGTACATTGTAATTCCAAACATAATCCATTACATGATAACATCAAATATTGTATATAATTACCCAAAAACAGGAATACAAGCATCCAGTGATGCTTTTAAAGATCTACAGAATCATTGTCAGGTTTCTATATGTACACTTTACTCTTTTATTTAGACCAAGGCATACAGATATTAGATATAGTCATTTCCAGTGTTGCTAGTTGCGACAGCAAGTGTCATCATACTCATATCTTATACATTATCTCATGTAGAAAAGTGATGATGAATTCTTATCACAGATGATGATTAATGTACTTTATACATATATACATAATATACACTCACCGGCCACTTTATTAGGTACCCCATGCTAGTAACGGGTTGGACCCCCTTTTGCCTTCAGAACTGCCTCAATTCTTCGTGGCATAGATTCAACAAGGTGCTGGAAGCATTCCTCAGGGAGTTTGGTCCATATTGACATGATGGCATCACACAGTTGCCGCAGATTTGTCGGCTGCACATCCATGATGCGAATCTCCCGTTCCACCACATCCCAAAGATGCTCTATTGGATTGAGATCTGGTGACTGTGGAGGCCATTTGAGTACAGCGAACTCATTGTCATGTTCAAGAAACCAGTCTGAGATGATTCCAGCTTTATGACATGGCGCATTATCCTGCTGAAAGTAGCCATCAGAAGTTGGGTACATTGTGGTCATAAAGGGATGGACATGGTCAGCAACAATACTCAGGTAGGCTGTGGCGTTGCAACGATGCTCAATTGGTACCAAGGGGCCCAAAGAGTGCCAAGAAAATATTCCCCACACCATGACACCACCACCACCAGCCTGAACCGTTGATACAAGGCAGGATGGATCCATGCTTTCATGTTGTAGACGCCAAATTCTGACCCTACCATCCGAATGTCGCAGCAGAAATCGAGACTCATCAGACCAGGCAACGTTTTTCCAATCTTCTATTGTCCAATTTCGATGAGCTTGTGCAAATTGTGGCCTCAGTTTCCTGTTCTTAGCTGAAAGGAGTGGCACCCGGTGTGGTCTTCTGCTGCTGTAGCCCATCTGCCTCAAAGTTCGACGTACTGTGCGTTCAGAGATGCTCTTCTGCCCACCTTGGTTGTAACGGGTGGTTATTTGAGTCACTGTTGCCCTTCTATCAGCTCGAACCAGTCTGGCCATTCTCCTCTGACCTCTGGCATCAACAAGGCATTTCCGCCCACAGAACTGCCGCTCACTGGATGTTTTTTCTTTTTCGTACCATTCTCTGTAAACCCTAGAGATGGTTGTGCGTGAAAATCCCAGTAGATTAGCAGTTTCTGAAATACTCAGACCAGCCCTTCTGGCACCAACAATCATGCCACGTTCAAAGTCACTCAAATCACCTTTCTTCCCCATACTGATGCTCGGTTTGAACTGCAGGAGATTGTCTTGACCATGTCTACATGCCTAAATGCACTGAGTTGCCGCCATGTGATTGGCTGCTTAGAAATTAAGTGTTAACGAGCAGTTGGACAGGTGTACCTAATAAAGTGGCCGGTGAGTGTATATAAGTACAGTGAACTCATTGTCATGTTCAAGAAACCAGTTTGAAATGATTCGAGCTTTGAGACATGGTGCATTATCCTGTTGGAAGTAGCCATCAGAGGATGGGGACATGGTGGCCATAAAGGGATGGACATGGTCAGAAACAATGCTCAGGTAGGCCGTGAAATTTAAACAATGCCCAATTGGCACTAAGGGGCCTAAAGTGTGCCAAAAAAGACATCCCCCACACCATTACACCACCACCACCAGCCTGCACAGTGGTAACAAGGCATGATGGGTCCATGTTCTCATTCTGTTTACGCCAAATTCTGACTCTACCATCTGAATGTCTCAACAGAAATCCAGACTCATCAGACCAGGCAACATTTTTCCAGTCTTCAACTGTCCAATTTTGGTGAACTCTTGCTAATTGTAGCCTCTTTTTCCTATTTGTAGTGGAGATGAGTGGTACCCGGTGGGGTCTTCTGCTGTTGTAGCCCATCCGCCTCAAGGTTGTGTGTGTTGTGGCTTCACAAATGCTTTACTGCATACCTCGGTTGTAACGAGTGGTTATTTCAGTCAAAGTTGCTCTTCTATCAGCTTGAATCAGTCGGCCCATTCTCCTCTGACCTCTAGCATCAACAAGGCATTTTCGCCCACAGGACTGCCGCATACTGGATGTTTTTCCCTTTTCACACCATTCTTTGTAAACCCTAGAAATGGTTGTGCTTGAAACTCCCATCAACTGAGCAGATTGTGAAATACTCAGACACCAACAACCATGCCACGCTCAAAATTGGTTAAATCCCCTTTCTTTCCCATTCTGACATTCATTTTGGAGTTCAGGAGATTGTCTTGACCAGGACCACACCCCTAAATGCACTGAAGCAACTGCCATGTGATTGGTTGATTAGATAATTGCATTAATGAGAAATTGAACAGGTGTTCCTAATAATCCTTTAGGTGAGTGATATGGTATGGGCTCTATGCACGGCGTTATTTCCGGTGAAGGATTAAGGATGCTTGATAACTTCCGCCGATCATAGAGTCCAATGCAATACCGAGAATTTATATTGAATTTTATACTCCATGGTTATACTAATGAAACGTTAGTCACAAAAACAGATAAAACAGACACCCCTCGTTGTGTTTATGCTTCTTTTTAAAATTATATTAAATAAACATAACTATATATAAAATTACATCTAAACGTATGTACGTTTCGTTTCAAAGACGGGAGGACAGTAAATATTGAAGACTCTGCCATAATCCCGTTTTCTCCGGTTTTCCTCCGCTTTAATCTACACAACCGGAAATGGACGAGCATCCTTACGCCAAATGCGGAACTTATGCGTGCATATAGCCCATTGTTGCTGCTCTTTCCTTTCTCTTCTTTATTTGATATATTATGTAGTCTTTATTTTGTATCGGTCTTACTAAACCCAGACCAAGGTTCAAATGACATATTGCATCAACAGCCAAAGCAACACGGACCATTAGTATACACAGCCTGAACCAACATTAGCATGCCAGATTCCACTTCCCATGTGGTATTGGTAAAAACCATAGACATTCCACTGTATGATTTTAATAATATTTTACTGAGCGAGGCAAGTTGGTCTGATACCATGTGTGGAATCCTTAAGTTTATGTGTTGTGATTTTTTAACAAAGATTTGTTGAGTTTGTAAATGACTTTCCAACATCCAAAGGTAATATTGAACAATTTATTGAGCATTTCAGAACAGTTCTATGTCCACAATGTGACAGTTCAGTTAAAGGACACATAAGATCATAGCTTAAAATCCCATGACACATGATCTCCTGAAAAGCCTGAAAGATACGTACCCAAAGTTTGAATAATTGCAGTGCTATAGCAAAGTAAATATTGCGTAGAAAAATATTTAACTTTATACTTTGTCAACTATTTTTAATATTGCAAATAATAATAAATTAGAGCTAAAAATACTGTGTAATTCGAAGGGACACACACTGTTAGAGATGAATTAGTTCCTAAAGCCAAAGCACTCATGGCCTAAATAAAGAGTTCAGTATAAGCCGGTCACAGTTTGGAGGAGAAATGGTTGTATTTGTCAAAACCGCTGACCAGCACTGTGTCAGGAAAACTCCTGGGCCGCTCAGGGTCCTGTCAGGATCAAGAAAAAACATATTTATGATTTTTACTGCTAAATATCTATGACTACATGATTTTGTAAACTGAGAGAGATTTTCACCTGGATTGGATAAGCACATGTAGGGACATATCGGATGACGTAGCCACAGCGCCTCCTATTAGATGTGTTGGGATCGCTGGCATGAACCAGAAGTCCATCATGGACCTGGAACAGAATTCAGTCAATGAATGTTTATAAAATGCTTGAATTAAACTCAGAAATCCACCTTGTTTTTTAACACAATAGCAGCTATTTGTATACTGAACGTGTCTGGGTGATCTGCTTTCACATATTTGCAGAAAACAGCTTACTTCTACGTTGAAAAATGAGGTGGATAAGATCCTTTTGGTCGGTGTGTAATGTCATAGGATAATACTTTATTTTGTTGGTCCACTTCAGACATTCTACTGACTACAAGTAAACTTAGTCTACTAACCCGAACCCTAACCTAACAGTCTACTATTAATACTCAGGTAGTTGCAAATTATAGTTAGTAAAGTGTCTAAAGTGGGCAATTGAAATAAAGTGTAACCTTGATGGGTAGTGTATTTGCATTCTGTCACTGCATCTTGTTTTTGTCATACATTTAAGAAATGAATACATAGACACTCACCGACATCTGACCAGCTTGAAGTGGGCATAAGAGGGCCTTCTCTGACTGCACCAGCTCCTCTGGGATCTCCTGATTGACACTCAGCATGTTCCCAGCTCGTTTTGATTGGTGATGGGGCAGAAGACCGGACTGGTGACTACCTGTTGGATGAATAAGGACAATTTAGACACTTCCCATTACAAAGCGGACATAGAGGCACAAAGAGCAGTGTTTGTACCTGGAATAACTTGCAGTGCTCCATTGTCCTCAAGCGAGTCGTCAAGGGCAAGCCAGACAGACAGAACGGGACCTCCATCAAAACCCCAGTACCTAAAGACCAAAACATGATGAAATCTGAGCTAAATAAAAAAAAAACAACAGTAGATTATGTGGAATGGTGCTTACGTCATGTCCTGGTGCCAGGCCACAAACGGCAATCCTTCCATCTTATCACTGCTGCCATTGCTTTCTGGCTTTCCCACTGGATATTTACAAATGAATCTGGAGTCGAGCAGGATGACGTCGGGCCCCAGAACTGCAGTGACCACCTCAAGAAGCCGAGGGTGCTTGGCGAGGGCCATCACCCAGTCATTATCCTTGTGGATGTTATGAAGGCTGTAAGCAGTGTAATCTTCACCTGTAAGGGAATACCTGGGTTATTTCAATATTTCAAGTCAAGTCACCTTTATTTAGATAAAAGTCAAAGCAGCTTTAACAAGAAAACAATAGCATCACGGTCCGGCTTAAGTTCAGTGATGGTTAATTTCTATTGTAAAAAAAAATATTAATTTAGTTTAATTTAGAATTGATTCATCGTCCAGCTTGATTCAGTTCTCATTTAATGATCTCAGATCCTCACCATGTTTTCTCTCCAGCTCAGCGAAGGCATCCCGGGACTGCTGAAGCTCCTCTGGACTCAGGATGGGGATCGCCGACAGATACCCCTGCTGCTCGTACTGGGCCCGAATCTCAGCCGCGTCTTGCTTCATGTCTGAAAAGGCAGGGAAACTTCCGCTTGTCTCTAGATTTCTCAAGAGCTTGGCTTAATCTCAGCTGTGCAAACTCCACAGGGACAGAGAAGCAGTTTTTATAACCTGTGGTACACAGAGAGATGGAAATTAAACTTTGGCTCCATGCTTAGTCTGGCATTTCCTTTTTTGGCCTCTGAAAACCTCCTTGTCTTGGCCTTACACCACATTTATTCATGGCAAATTTATTCACGCAGGGACAGAGAGTCCTATGGTGCGTGGAAGCAATGGTCCATGAATAATTAAATGGGGAGAACAACTTACTCTTAAGCATATAAGGGTGGAGGTGAGTCAGTAAGCCGTTAAACGCTGGCATTTAGACATCTGTCTAGTACATTCGTTTTCATTGCTAAAGTTCACTGAGTTTGGCAACAACAAGAAACACGCACCTGAATCCGAAAGCTGTGGGTTTCTTTCTGCTGAGTCTTGGTGCAAGCTGCAAAGATGAAAGAAATCAAAATAAAATAAAAACACACTCAAACCATTGAACAAGTACAGACACTTAAAATGTCATTGAAATGCATCAGTAATACCTGCTGATTCTTTGCTGATCAGGCTGTTTGTTCCTGAGGTGTTGTGCTCTTTACCATCAAACTGTGAATATTTATAATCACTTGGGAATTAGGCCCCTCCTCCATTACAACATCACTCATACCTGACGATTCCACGGAAGAGAAGAGGGCATACTTTTACCACATTTTTTTATTTATATCCTAGGGTGTGTAAACTTTGAATACAATATGTTGCTGACGTTTCAAGAAAACCCAAAAAGAGCATTTCCTTTTGTGAGTCATTCTTTGTGTGTATCTGTTACACAATGAAAACCGTCATCTCTCGGCACGTGCTGAATGTGACCTAGTCACCTATTGGTCAACATTGGGGCAAAGTGAAATTATTTATTTAAAAATAATTATTTATTTAAAAATGAACACACTGACTATAGTTATGACTCCCATAGTTATTAACTAAATATTGTACCATATATGAAACAATTTTTTGCATTTTAAAACATGACTTTTCCTAAAGGTGAACAAAATAATGTTTTAAAAGGTTTATTAAAATAAAAATAATTCTACTTGTTAAGATTTCTATAAAAATATATTTACACACTGTAAAAATGAATATGAAGGAATATATAAAATCTAATCAATAAAATTGAGGCAACAGATTACAATCAATATTATTAATTCAATTGAACAAATAAGAATTGAGTAATATGTAACCAAATGAATTACTTACAAGTTAACCATTTAAAATGAGCACAATTTACACATTTTTCTGAACAAAAATATCAGAATAACAGATGAAGACCTCTTTTTTTATTGCCATCATTGAAGACACCTGATGTTAACAAGCAGAATCACTGAAGGAGAAAATCGTAATTTTTAAGTCACCATTGTGGAGATCAGTGTTTGTTTTAGTTGGGCTCTTGACCCTTAATTCATTAAATTTAGATGTTGTTTGGCTGTTATACGTGAGTTATAACTGCCAGATGAACAAATTGAAAAGGTGATTTGATGGTGTTGGTTATGTTTTAACATAATCATTAATTCACAATCATTTGACCTGAATCACTGTTGTTTTTCCGATATTTCAAAAACTAATGTGTTTTTCTGATATTTTTGTTTAAAAAAAATCTGTAAATTCTACTCATTATAAATGGTTAACTTTTAAGTAATTCATTTAGTCAATTGTTACTCAATTCTTATTTGTTGAATTTAATTAATAATATTGATTGCAATCTGTTGCCTCAATTTTATTGATTAGATTTAACATATTCAGTCATATTCATTTTTACAGTGCATATGGTGACATTTGGTAACACTTTACTTGAAGGGGTGTGTATAAGACTAACATGACAACTTCATAACCATGTCATGACATATGTTATGAATATGAAGGAAGTTTTATGCATGTTTATGACAACTGTCTTTCGCTCAGTTATGACATTTTTAATGCAAATATGACATTGTTTGAGATGTCTTTGTTATGACACCTTGACATAAACCACATCATAACCTGTCAGTGTATTTGTCATGACAACTTGACATTACTAAGACAACACAACCTGTCATAAACATGAAATCGCAGATTAATGATCGAACTTAAGAAACCGCCTAGCTTTATTGGTTAACATAACATTAAACTGTCAGGTGGTTGGTTTTGACATTGGCTGTCATGAAGCCATTAAAACATTTTAATGACAAATTCAATTAGTACCACTGTAGTTGTCATGGTTATGTAGGTGTCATCCCAGTCTTATGCACACCCCTTCAACTTAAGTAGCAATAATGACATGGTTATTATTATATATATTTGTATGTATATATATATATATATACTTGTCTTGTCTTAAGAATTTGGGTGGTGCAATCAACTATATTTTTAATGTGTATTTTATTGAAACAATATAGTTGAACATTTCAAAGCAATTCATAGGGACACATTTAATTGGATATAATCTTAAAAAATGAATAAACAAACAAACAAGCAAACATTGACAATGCCTCACCTATAACAGGTGCAAGAGCATGGCATTATTGAGAGACAACCACACTGAATTTAAATGAATCATTATTCATTTGCTGTTTTCTTTTTCATTATAGATTTACTATTCCACACTTTTTAATGTTATTGTTGTAATCTATTTTATTTATTATGTCATTTTTATCCTATTGTGAATTGTTCTTGAACTGCATTGATATGTTTGGGAAATATCATAAATAAAGGTGAATTGGTTGACACAACTGAGAAAATTTCCTGGAAAATATGTATGAGTAAAACAATGCGTTCAATACTCTGGAAATTCCAATGGCCTTGGGTTTCCTTAAAGTCAAAGTGCAAAATCATCTCAAGTTGTTTCCTGTTAGTAATGTATTAAGAAAAGGTCCATTTGCTGACATATTAACTGAAAAAAAAAAAAAAAAAAAAAAAAAAACAGGCTTATAAAGATTACAATATTTACTGTCTGACATGGCTTGTTTGAGTTTCAGCCATTGAACTCTCATATTAAAACTACAAAAGTGCACAGTGTCCATACAGTCATTGTACAAACACAATCCTTTCAGTAATATAAAAGAATAATACAATAAAGAACCAATAAATATAGCATTAAAACGGGATCTAAAAGATAAAAAAAAATAGCTTGCTTCCCCTTGTGATGAATGAATGCGTGTCAGCGTTCAGTGGAAGTCCGGCTGCCCGTGATGTTCACAGTGTTTGGGACACACGTATCCCCCCCGCTGATCTCCTCGGCTCTTCCTCCTGTCGGTCCTGGGCCGGTCCTGCTCGTTGTTGCAGCGATGCACCAGAACCGGATCTTTCTCGGCTGGAGATTTCTTCATCAGCAGTCTCTGGAGAATCTGTTTGTCTGAGCGCTCCTTGTGAAAATCATCCTCATACACCTTTAGCTGAGAAAAAAGATCAAATCAAGATATTGGTTTGTAAAAAAAAAAATATTTAACACTTTTTTTGTCAAATCAACTTAAATGATTTATTTAGTTGATATAACTTATTATTTTGAGTTTCTGATGATAAAATCAATCTCCTTCATTGTATTAACTCCCTTTTTCCAGTTCAATCAACTTAAAATTTTAAGGCTTCAGGTTACTTCATTTTTTAAGTTAAACCAACAATATATATATATATTTTTTTTTACAGTGATGAAATGGTAAATAATGGTTCAATAATATTAATGTTCACTTCAACACATTAAAACCTGACAAGATAATTATCAGCATTCCTGTTAAATCGTTCACTCATGTATTATGACATATTCAACATCAGGGCACCATGACATTTAAATTAGTTTGACTGGAAACTACCAATCATTTCCTTTTGCATTTAGATTCTTTCTTCATGTGAAAGGTACTTCAAAATCACAATGGAAATCTTTGACGGAAGTGTGATGACAAGATCTTCAGGTAATCTTTGACGGAAGTCTGATGAACGTGACAACATCATGATAAAATGTTCATTGTCTTGTAGAAACACTTAGATTCAATCTGGCCTTTTTGTCATCATATGTCCAATAGGTAAATGTGATTTCACCAAGAAATTGATCCAACCTGTTAATCCTGGAATTACATTTTGCCAAAGAGTAGACATCCAACACACATGGCACCCTTTAGCGTCAATATGAGACGCAGATATATATGGGGCAGAAGGCGCCTCCTAGTGGTCTAACCCTAACCCTACACCAAAACTAAACTAAAACTACCCATAAACGAAGCGTCTCATTTGACGCTAAAGGGTGCCATGTGTGTTCGATGTCTACGCTTTGGCAAAAGTGTCGTATATGACACCTTGGGATGAGAATGCGTTGGTTTTGTGCATAATTACTGTGTGAGAAATTGTTTTTTTTTTACCCATCTCGAAATTGTCCGTCCTGGCTAAGGTTATGGAAGCTCTGGTAAATGAACAATTGAAAGAGTTTCTAGCTATTAGCAATTTTTTTCAAACTTTCAATCAGATTTTCGTAAAAGACACAGCACAACTACAGCAGCCCTAAAACTAGCAAATGATTTCATTGAATCTTTCGATAAAAAAACAACATTGCGCAGCTCTTTTTATTGATCTATCTAAAGCTTTTGATACTGTGGATCAAAAAATATTAAAACAACGACTTCTCAGTGTCGGGTTGTCAGAACAAACAGTTTGCTGGTTTGAAAATGATCTATCAGGTAGATTTCAATGCGTACAGGACCTCCAGCCCTCTTAGTATATCCAAGGGTGTGCCTCAGGGGTCAGTGCTGGGACCACTCCTATTTATATTATACATCAACATTCTTGATCGAAATGTCTCCAACGCAAACGTTCATTTCTATGCCGACGTCACTGTGATATACTGCTCTGCTGCCACACCAAACCGAGCTCTTTGTCAGCTACAACTTGCTTTTGATACTGTACAAAGTACCTTGTCTGATTTAAAACTTGTTTTGAATGACGACAAACTAAACTTATGTTGTTTTCCAATGCGAAATCAAAGCCACAAAACCTTCCATCTTCAGGACTTCGAGGTTGAGACTGTATATCCCAATACAAATACCTTGGTATTCTAATTGATGATTCTCTCTCTTTTAAACCTCACATCCAGGAGTTGGTGAAAAAACTGAAGCGGAGACTGGGTTTTTATTTTAGAAACAAGTCATGTTTCTCCTTTGAGGCAAAAAGAAAGCTTGTTGCTGCCACGTTCATGTCAGTGCTGGACTACGGTGATGTTTTATACATGCATGCATCCATTCAATGCTTGAAATTGTTTGATACGGTTTACCACTGAGCCCTTAGGTTCATCACAAACCTATGATCGGGTTGGTTGGTCTGCATTGTCCACCCGTAGGCATAATCACTGGCACATTCTTATTTATAAAGCTATTCTTGGTCTGCTTCCCCCATACCTTTAATCTTATATTAAAAAGAAAGGCACAGGACCGTATTGTCTTCGTTCTGAGGACTTATTGTTCAGAATCACTTTATTTCAGAATCACTTTATTCGCCAAATGCATCAGCAGATGCACAGGAATTTGATATGGCCATCAGTTACACACAAACTCACACACACACACACACACACACACACAAAAAAAATAATAATAATAAATATAATAAAATAGTCAGAAGGGCTAATTCAGCTATTTAAAAGGGAAATGGCTCTTGGAAAAAAACTATTTAAATGGCGTGAGGTCCTTGTCCTCACTGCTCTATACCTTCTCCCTGAAGGAAGCACCCTAAAAATGTCACTTGCTGGATGAGACTGATCAGCAGCAATTTTAGCTGCCCTCTTTCTAACTCTGGCCTCATATAAGTCGTTAAGTGACAGCTGCCTCTGTCCAGTCAGCCTCTCAGCTGTGCGCACAATACGCTGTAGTCTGACCTTCGCCTGGGCTGATGCCGATGCAAACCAGACAGTAATGGATGCTGAAAGAAGGCTTTCCACAGTGGCCCTGTAAAATCTAGTCCGAACAGAGCTGGAAACGTTCAGTTTATTTAACTGTCTCAGAAAAAACATTCCACTATGAGCTCTCTTAAGAATGGAGGAACTATTTTCCTCCCATTTGAAGTCATTTGTGATAACAGTGCCTAAAAATGTAGTTGACTCCACCCTCTTCACAACAGAGCTCTTGATAGTTAGAGGTGGAAGGGAGGCGGGTGCCCTACGAAAATCTATCACCATTTCCACAGTCTTTTGCTGATTAAGCTCCAAGTTGTTCTCATCACACCATGCAACCAATTTTGACACTTCCTGCCTGTAAGCAGACTCGTCATTTCCCTTAACTCTTTCCCCGCCAAACACGGAATTTTCCGTGTTTAATGAAAAAACGCATCTGCGCCAAACACGGAATTTTCCGGGTATCCGTGTTTTAGGTGGTATACGGTAAGGAAGACCCGCGTGCATGTCCTGAATGATTGCGCAACTCTTTGTTTAGAGAAACAGATTGCAATCGTCTCAAACAGTGGAGTAGTGAGAATGTATCAGACAGACAATGCAGAGGTATATGGCTGAAGTACTGGAGGTTAATGGACTCGGAGTCCGATCACTCTTTATTTGATAATTCTGAATCTGATCGGGACGAAGTAGTCAGTGAGAGAGATGCACATGTTCATGCTAGCCATGGACGTGCCGCAGATAGATCGTATAATATTATGACACTATAATATGTATGTGTGTGTGCAGGCATTTATGTGTGGCTGTCTAAATATGAAGGTGTAATTGTCAAATTATTTCTCTCTTTGTGCACATTTACCACATTGTAATATGTATTTGTGTGTGTGTGTGTGTGTGTGTGTGTGTGTGTGTGTGTCTAGGCCATAGACTGTAAAAAATATGGACGTAGTGTCCGTGACGTCACCCATAGGTTTCTGAAGAGCGATTTTGAGGCCTAAAGTGGGCAGGGCCGACCGTCGCCATCTTGGCAGTGCGTCACCTCTCGTCACTACCGGATAAATTAAAATGGGCAAAGAGGCGGGACGCGGGTGGAGCTGCAGGTGCTAATGCTATGCTACTGTCGCTGAATTGACAGCTGATTGAAAAAGTAAAGCCAATGGTTAAAGTTCATGTTTTGCCCTTCGAAATATTATAATAGTTAAGACGTAACTAAAAGTGAGACTACTTTACTTTTTTTATCAACTTTATTAATCTCACAAGGGGCAATTAGTTAAGAGCATATTAACACAGATCACACATTTCTCACAACATACAAGCAGTCAACTATGTGCATTGTGATGCATTATTATTCTGCTAGTTAAAATGTATAACTTACAATATTGCTCTAAGCTTGTGCATGCGACAGTGATTCAAGGCAAGCACACGTCAGTCGGCATCTCACGTCAAGTTCGTAAAGAGCTTTAATTCAGTCCATTTTACAATCCGATTTTGGCCGCCTCTCAGATGGGTCAAACCAAATATTACCTCAGAACTTCAAGTAAATGAACTAGAAATCCGCGCTCATTCAAGGGTGTGCATCTATTGCATGGACGGAGAGAACGCGCTGAAATCATCAGACATCCATTAGTGCATGCGAGGGAAACAGCTGGAAACACGGCGCTGGTTGTTCTCTCCATACTCAACACGACGGAATCCAACGGCGTGCACGGGCGAAGGTATAATACATGTATTAAATTGTATGAAATAATCCCGGAAAAGCAGAAACACAGCTGAGGGTGACGCTAACAGACTAGCAGACTACGATTAGCAGTGAAAGCGGCAGCATGAATCCACCTGTCACTCAAGTGGCCACGCCCTTAATTATGCAGAACTTTAAGGCTTAAATATAATTTAAACAGATGAGTTGTAAAAAAATTCACCCCCCTCACAGTTGTCATGAAGGGAAAAATGAGCTCAATAGACCAAAGCCACTTTTTGCTCCAGGCTGTAAACATGTTTTTTTCTGCTGTAAAGTTGGGCATTTTAACATGGGGGAGATACAGATTTGACTCGCTTCTGCAGCCTGCCTCAAGCGGCCACTCGATAAATTGCAGTTTAATTCACTTCCGTATTGGCTTCAAGAGAGAGACGGGGAGGTTGCCGCTTGGTCTAGGCCTGTTTATTGTAATTCCAATTATTCATTATTCACAGGTAGAACACAGAGAGGCAGAGGCAGAAGTTTTATTGCAAAAGTTACATTTCCCTTACATCCTGGGAAATTTGATATATTTTACATTTATTTTATGTTTTTAATTTATTTTGGAAAGTTTTATATATGAAGGAAACAACATCTGAATGTATTCTGCTTTTAAATGCACTTGTTTGATAAAAACACCTTTTTCTCAGTTTTTTGTCCAAAATGTTGTGTTTTTGACAAAACCTACCTCTGTTCAAGAGGCAATAAAAAAAGAACAGATGAAGATAAAATAAAAACGTTTTTTTTTGCCTAAAAGCAGAGGCTCAGATCTTTATTTTTATATATATCATCTTCATATATTCATGGAAGAAAATATTCAGCGGGGGCATTTAAATTTAGCGAAAATCGTCAAAAACCCTGGCGGTGGCTGGCAACTTTTTTAAAAAACGCTGGCGGGGAAAGAGTTAATAAGGCCGACTAATGTGGTATCATCTGCGAATTTAATCAGCTTGATGGAGTTGTTCTCTGAAAAGGGTCAGGAAAAGGGTCGTTTGTGTTTGCGGCACCCAGCACTTGGAATCAACTGCAAAATGTCCTGAATCTTCAGGAACCGTTTTCACTGGTTGCTTTTAAATTACTTTTAAATGACATGGAGGCTACACATACTGGCTGTAGATGTTATGATTAATTATTTGGATGATCCTTTTTTTGTTTTTTGTTTATGCTATGTTATATGGTTTTTTTTTTTACAGTATGTCTGCAACTTTGTTATTTGTGCTGCTGCCTGTGTTGGCCAGGACTCTCTTGGAAAAGAGATTTCTAATCTCAATGGGATTTCTTCTGGTTAAATAAAGGTATATATATATATATATATATATATATATATATATATATATATATATATATATATATATATATATATATATAATGTATAATAATTCAATGGGGCAAATACTTGTGGGTCCTGATAATGTCAAATGTCTGATGTTACCAGTAAAACGTGGCATATATTATTTGAAATATATGAAGAGTTCAGATGCAAAAGCCTCTAAGTGCCATTTGAAATTTTCTTCTAGAATGATCATTTTTATCAAGCTTGTATATTTAAGTTCAGTGATTTCACTTAAATGGCAATGATAATTACCTATTAATTGTTATTTAAGTGAAATTACTGAACTTAAATATACAAGTTTGATAAAAATCATCATTAAAGAAGAAAATTTCAAATGGCATTTAGAGGCTTTTGCATCTGAACTCTTCATATCTACTATAGTCAAAGTGAAAGCATATTCATTTTAAAACAATTGTATTTTCATCTCTTGAATATTGTTATTCTGGTGTCTCTGTTGTCCTGTGCTTTGGGTTTCCAGCACTAATGTATGTATCCAATTGTGACATGATGGTGTCGTTACACCCCTAGTATTAATTAATCAATTTATTGTCAATGTTCATGTTTCTTGTTAGTTGAGCCCATGATCATTAAATAATCTTAACGGACGCAATTTTGGCTTTTAATAATGCATTAGTAAATGCTGAAATTAACAGGACCAAAGATTAATTCATCATTAGATAATTTCACTAATTTACTCACTAATTTAGTTCACTAATTTACTATACAGTAAAATGATTCAGTGTCTGACTCGTCAGACTGCTGAACGGTTGGTGTGCTGGAGGAATCAGGAAGATCACTGGTGATTATCTGGTCACATCTGCCCCCTAGTGGTGGAGATTCGTAACAGCCGTTTGGACTGGCGGGGTTGATGCTCACCTGTTCCTGCAACAGCGCCATCTGCTGACGCATGTCCGCTTCTCTGCGCCGCAGTCTCTTGTTCTCCTGCAGCATGCGCTCATGGTCCTTCTGCTCCGTCTTATAATCAGCCTCATAGATTTTAGTCTGTGGATGGGAAACATTTTAAATAACGATAAACGGTTCATATTTCACCCCAAATTTAAAGGTTTCTTTTTTTAATGTTTTTTTTATTTTATTTTATTTTAAGACCATTAGAGGTTCTTTTTTAATCATTATTGTTTTCATAATTTGCTTTGCTGTAATATATATGAAGAGTTCAAATGCAAAAGCCTCTAAATGCCATTTGAAATTTTCTTCTTTAATGATGATTTTTATCAAACTTGTATATTTAAGTTCAGTAATTTCACTTGAATAACAATTAATAGGTAATTATCATTGCCATTTAAGTGAAATTACTGAACTTAAATATACAAGTTTGATAAAAATCATCATTAAAGAAGAAAATTTCAAATGGCATTTAGAGGCTTTTGCATCTGAACACTTCATATGAAGAGTTCAGATGCAAAAACCTCTAAATGCCATTTGAAATTTTCTTCTTTAATGATGATTTTTATCAAACTTGTATATTTAAGTTTAGATATTTCATTTAAATAACAATTAATAGGTAATTATCATTGCCATTTAAGTGAAATCACTGAACTTAAATATACAAGTTTGATAAAAATCATCATTAAAGAAGAAAATTTCAAATGGCATTTAGAGGCTTTTGCATCTGAACTCTTCATATATATATATATATATATATATAATTAAATAAAAAAGAATAAACCAACTATATTCATATATTCCACATTGTTAGAAATCATATTCAAATATTAGTATCAAATATGATTTTGAATAACGTTTTTTTGTGCAAGTCTCATTTATCATTTTATTGCACAGCATTAGATGTTTTGCATGCCATATTAAATACATATTATTGAGAGATAGAGTTAAAACGTATATTTATATGCATTTTAGGTAAATTTATGTCTATACTGTTATGAAGATGATAATTTCATCTTTCTTTTTGAAGACTTGTATACCTTTGTATATTTTTTGTATATTGTATATTACAATTGTATATTTTATTTTATATTGTATTGTAAATTTTCATTGTATATTTTTGCTCAGTTTTGGCATCTGAATAAAACAGATCATAAGTCATATGTCATAAAACTACGTCTATTTGAAACTGTCTTGGTTGTTTTTGGATGTTATGGTCACATGTTCACTCAGAATCGTGATATCTATCCAATCATGACATGATGGTCTCGTTATACCCCTAGTATTTATTAATCTATGTCAATGTTCATGTTTATTGTTGTTAGTTGAGCCCAGGATCATTAAATAATCCTAACACACACGATTTTGGCTTTTAATAATGCATTAGTAAATGTTGAAATTAACAGGAACAAAGATTAATTCATTGTAACATAAAACCCTAACATATAACCCACATAACTGATTAGGAAAAAAAACAACAAGAAGAAAACTATGAGGAACCAGTTATTTCAACAAAAATACATAAAATGTGAAGTGTCACACAGGGAATTGTGGGAATATCAATTTACGTTTTTTCACTGTAAATTATAATTGTTCTTTTTCGCTTTCAAAAACTGTAAATTTAACAGTATTTTACAGTAAAATTATATCACAGTTATTTACCGTATATATACTACGGAAACCTTCTTTTAACCAATTAACAGATTTGCACTGTAGCATTTTTACAGTCTTTTACCGTTAAACTCAAAATTATTTTTTACTGTTATGAAGATGATAATTTCATCTTTCTTTTTGAAGACTTGTATACCACATTGTATATTTTCGCTCAGTTTTGGCATCTGAATAAAAGAGATCATAAGTCATAAAACTACAGGCCTATTTGAAACCGTCATACGGTCACGTTCACTCACCTGACACCGCAGCGCCTCCAGCTGTTCTTTCAGATCCTGAACCTCTCTCACCGGGTCAGACTGGATCTCCATTCCCATTACAGCCAGTCTGAGGCTCGACTTTGTGCCCGGTGACACGGTCGACCGTACATCCAGGGAAGGTTTAGAGGACCGCTGGAGTAGCCGAGAGTCTGAGGTGCCACTCATATCTGGTGTCTTCCAACAGAGAAAAAGTCAATCGAAATGTTGAACGATAGACATGTAGTATAGTTACTGTAAATCTCTGGTCTGACAGATTGTGTAAGCTGACCTGTGTCCCCCTGGTCCACTGATGAAGATCTGTTTGGTGCAGTCGGCTCTCCAGCAGTCGGATATACTCCTGGAGATGCTGGTTTTTCTTCAGCTCCTGCATCAGTGTTTGTTCATAATATTCCCCCTTATTCTACACACACATAACAGAACAAAAGTGTCAGTGTGTGCTCTGAATTAAACCATCAGTCACACCATAGCATTCCATGACAATGTACAAACAAACACTAAATAAATAAATGTTCAGTGTTTTTAAAAAAAAATACACTGATGAACCTTTTTTTTTGAAGATTGAACAAATCTTTTTTCGAGTCATTTTGTTCATTTCGTTTGTTGAATGAACCAAATGACTCGAAAAAAGATTCGTTCGTTTTGATGAACGAGTTTAAACAGGAGAGTCACGAATGCGCATCAGAACAGAGCAAGGCGTGCATTTGTGCTTATAAAACTTAAACGTTGTTATTTATTGTTGAAATGAGCGATCGTTTCATTAGATAAGATCCTTATTTATCGTCTGGTGTCATTTAAAGACATTTAAAGCTGCACAGAAACTCTCATTTGGACCTTGAACCGTTTGGTTCCCAATGAAGTCCATTATATGGAGAAAAATCCTGGAACGTTTTCATTAAAAACCTTAATTTCTTTTCGACTGAAGAAAGAAAGACATGGACATCTTGGATGACATGGGGGTGAGTAAATTATCAGCACTTTTTTAAAAAGTAAACAACTCCGTTAAGTTGCACAAGTCTTCCCAATATGGCTTACAATTACCAACACTTGGCTGGCCACCAGTGTCACCAAACAACCCTCTTCAGATTACATCTGTTCACTGGTAGACCACGAGGAGCTTGAGTTCATCCTGCTGTTCAGAAATCTACACTTCAATGTCTTCAGCAGTGTGTTATAGGACATTAGTGTGCTGGAGAATGGGAAATGCAAAAGGGATCAGAGTGAGTCTGCAAGATTCCTGGCTCTCGACCATCAAATGAACTAAATACTCCAAACAACATATTATGACCTGAAGCCATCTTTTGGCTTTCCTCAAATATAAAGCAGTTCAGATGTAATAAATCAGGTGAGAGATGACTCATCACACATATTGCTTTTCCAATCACTCAACGAGTTTGTTTAGCAGGGCTTGCATTGAAGATGTGCTCCAGACTCAACCTCAAAAGTGAATTATAGTCGGCTAATATGAATATTGTTCGTGAATGAATATTGTTCATGGAGCGAGAGATCACTTCCAGCACTTGCACAGACCGAAGCGCTCGTGCCTTCAGATCACTTGGACGTGGCTGTTACAAAAGGTAAAAACGATATACTGTTCGTTTTCTCACACAAACCGCTCGTTTCGTGTCTTAGGCCATCAATGTGTACTTACATTTACGAGTCATTAAATCATGTTTAATTTGGACTTCTCTGTGCATGCTCTTTGAGGTGGTGACCATAGACCTACATTATATGACTTACAGACAAGAACGGTTTGACCTAAAAATATCAAAATTGAAAATACTGTGGAAACAAAGACACCTACATCTTGGATGCCCTTGAGGTAAGCTAAAACATACCAAAAATTAATTTAAAAGTGAACTATCTCTTTAATGCAAGTGATAAACATCAAGACTGATTCAGTGTTGAAGCTCAAAATATAATTGTAATTTCGTTACTTTAAACTTGGTATTACCAAAATCAATTCCTACCCTATAATCTTTCTTGTTCGAGAAGATGATTGCAACTTCTGTGTCATGCTGACTTTAAGAGTCAGGTCATGTACAAACAGGTTCACAAGATAACTACTAGTAATGTGGTATGAAGGACCTGTCCAACCAGTGATGCGAGTTCAGAGCAGGATTGCGTGTTTGCCCAATGGCAAACGGGATGTTAACAGGTAAACTCTAACAATATTTACTTTTCTGTTTAGGGACAAAAATGATGCTAAAATTACACACGCTATCCTGCCATAAACATGTCTGCCCACGCACCTGTTCATGTTCTACTTTGAGCAGCAGTCTGCTTTTGAGCTGTTTGAGGGCAGCGTTTTCCTCCTCGAAATCCGCCACACGCTGCTGGAGGCTCACACTTGTGCTGTGGTAGATATGATCCCACTCTTCGTTCAGTTTCATCAGCTGATACACACACACACACAAGATGGGTTTCCATGTTTTATGGGGACTTTCCATTAACATGATTTTAGACTGTATAACCCTAAACCTATGACTTCTATTTGTTAATCTGCTTTGTAGTTGTATTTGTTGTATCCTAAGCCTGCACTAACCCTAAACCCCTGCAGAAACCATAGGGGCCACTGTCTACCTGTTTTTGCTATCATTGTAATGACATTTGATCCCCACAAACACAGCAAAATCTGACTCAACTACATACAAAACAATTGTATATAACAAAAATGTTTGGTTCTATTAAGTGTCTGTGCTAATATTTAAACGAACCATTTGATACATTGCACTTATTTTGTAAATACATGTTTTCACTTATATTTAAATGTACGTCCAGCTGTAATTAAATTCTGTAATTTTGTCAGGACCACTAGCAAATAATAATAATATCGTCAATAAAACACGCTTCAATTATGGGTAGGTTTAGAGTTAGACCACTAGGAGGCGCCTTCTGGCTCGTATATATCTGCGTCTCACATTGACACTAAAGGGTGCCATGTGTGTTGGATGTCTACGCATTGTCAAAAGCGTCAGTATATGACGCCTTGGGATGAGAACGGGCTGAGGTAGACGTGGATCAGTCAGCTGATACGAGCTTGACTAACGTGACCTGCCAGAACTGACATCTTGATTTACATCTATATTTGAAGAGTTCAGATGCAAAAGCCTCTAAGTGCCATTTGAAATTTTCTTCTAAAATGATCATTTTTATCAAGCTTGTATATTTAAGTTCAGTAATTTCACTTAAATGGAAATGAAGATTACCTATTAATTGTCATTTAAGTGAAATTACTGAACTTAAATATACAAGCTTGATAAAAACGGTCATTTTAGATGAAAATTTCAAATGGGATTTAGAGGCTTTTGCATCTGAACTCTTCATTTATACTGTTGACTATTCCTTACACCCACCCTTAAACCTACACATACTACCAACCAACGCGGTATAAAACAAACTAAAAGATAATTGTGATTTTTTTATCTCGCAATTCTGACTTTTTTTCTCTCACAATTGCGAATTACAAAGTCAGATAATCATCAAAATTATAACAAATAAAGGCTTGAAATATCTCACTTTGCATGTAATGAGTATATAATATATTAGTTTCACCTTATAAGCTGAATTACTGAAATAAATGAACTGTTGTACGATATTCACATTTTGATTTGAGTTTTACCTGTATAATAGGGATTCAATATATTGGATTAAAATCTTAATTAAAAAAAAAGGTGCAAATGAAAAAGAACTTTCAAAATGAAAGTTAAAACCATGTTCTGAACTTTTGTAGTTATAAAAAATCTTATTTTCTTTTCTTTTTATGGTGAATTACAGAATTATACATCAGGTACACTGTATACTAGTGGATTATGAAAATTGAGTTCTAGGGTCATGGTGTTTTATTCTACCTCTTTGTTGAGTCTCCGCAGTTCAGTGTTTTTGTTGAGGAGCTGAAGCTTCTCTTCATCAGAGGAGGTGATTGACATGCTTTCTGTGATGAGGGTTAACTGCTCCTCCCCAGAGAGAAGAGACTCTTCATGTGCCACATCCTCCACCTGCCTACAACGCATGCAAACACCCACACATTACTTTGTTTGTTAGTTTTTTATATTTTAGGATCTCTCACATTATCATTATTATAAATAATATATAAATATAAATATATTATCATGGCGAGAAAACATCTATTTAGATATTTTGTTCATTCCTCCAAACGCTACATCACGGGTGGGATACATATGATTTATCCAACACAGTCTCATGAAGATGCGTATCTATACCACGAGATCTTCTCGTGGCATTTATACGCCAAAAGTGTTTTTTTCGTGTATATGGTACGCACTAAAAAAACCTGGGTTAGGTTTAGGGGGGAGGGGGGTGGGGAGTTCGTGCGTATTATACGCAAAAAAGTGCGTATCATATGTACGCGAAAATCGCGTGCCATATACACGCAAAAACTGTTTTTGGCGTATAAATGCCACAAGAAATGACATTCGTGCCATAGATACGAACTTTCATGAGATCGGGCTGGATTTATCTGTTGTTTGTCTGGGAGCTGAGCATGCACAGTCAGCTCTCGAGGGATCTGGATGTGTACAGTGGCACGGAGAGAAAGATTAGCAGCTTAGTGGCCACTGATCTTTCTCTCCGGGCCACTAAAGAGACAGCCAGATCCGTTGGTCATGCTATGGCAGCCTTGATGTCCACACAGATGGATTTATGGTTGAACTTAAGTGCCATGAAAGCTTTCTGATCGACGCCCCGCTATCACCTCCTGGCCTCTTTGGCGATGCTGTCAACACAGCTGTCGAGAGGTATCAGGAGGCCAGCAAGCAGGTGACCTGAGTCAGGTGAATCAGTCCCCTGACCTCCCCAGTCAGTCCCCTGAACCAGTCAATCATGCAGCTCAAATTCAAAATGTTAACTTTGAGACAAACCCAGACATCCCAACCTGCAAGAATTCATTTCAGGGAGGTATATTTCGGTAACAGGATCTTGGGTGGGAGGGAGGGCTAACTTTCGCGTCTGCGAGGCACACTCGGTCTCTCCCTCTGTACAGTGCACGCGCAGCGCGCTATGTATGTTATGCGCGCAGTATGTCTCGCTCTAGATTCCGGGAGATTTTACCTAATTTGCGGGCATCAGGGAGACGCTATCAATATGCGGGAGACTCCCGGAACTTCCGGGAGACTTGGGATGTCTGCAAACCTTGATCATGTCCGAGGACTGGTTTGTCACGATAGACGTATTCTTCCATGGGTCCTTCCTTCCACAACACAGGTAGTTCCTAGGGTTCGCTTTCGGGAGCGAAGCATACAAATATCGGATTCTTCCATTAAGTATAGCTTTATCACCCCACACTTTCACCAAATGCATGGATCCAGCACTGGCGCTGTTAAGGTTAAATGCTAAGTAAAGTGTGCTTTCTGCAGCACAGAGTACCACTTTTCTAGGCGTGGTGTGGGATTCGGTTACAAGCACGTCTTTAACCCTGCATGCATCGAATCAATCCTGTCTGCGATAAACTGAATAAAGCTAGGTCTTTTGGATGAGGACTGTTGGGTTTGTTGGCAAAAGTGTCCAATGTGATTCCATTTGGCCTGTTGTACATGAGACCCCTACAGTGGTGGCTCAGGACCAGGGGATTCTCCAAGAGGGGCACCCCATTTCGATGATCAAGGTCAAGCGGGCTGCTTACGTATTCTGGTTATGTGGAAGAAACCCTAGTTTTTATCCCAAGGTTCCATGCTCGGGGCTCCTTGTTGTCGCAAGATGCTAACGACGGATGCTGCCCTCATGGGCTGGGGAGCGATTCTAGAAGATTGCTCATCTCAAGGTCTGTGGAGGAGGCATCACCTCACCTGCCACATCAACCACCTGTAGATGCTGGCTGTCATTCATGCTCTCAAAAATGTCCTCCCAGACCACCATGTGCTCATCTGTTCAGACAACACCTTGGTAGTCAACTACATTAATCATCAGGGTGGTTTGACCTTGTGTCCACTTGGTGCACCAAATTCTTCCGTGGTCCCACAGGAAAATGCTGTCACGTAGGGCAGCTTACATTTTCTTCCGAGCCAAAATACAGAATATCTCACTGTTCTCCCTCACATTCCCAGCTCCTCTGGGACTGGATGCTATGGTACGGACGAGGTCAAGGCTACATCTGTAGTTCTGAAGAGAGTTTGTTTTGACGAGGTCCATCTCACCTTAATCACCTCATGATGGCTGTGTAGAGTGTGGTTCTTATATCCTGTGTCTCTCCTCGACGGCTCTCATTGGAAGATTCCAGTCAGGAGGGACCTTAATACTTCACCCCTGCCCAGAGCTGTGGAACCTGTGGGCCTGGCCTCTGCCTAGCTCATATATTCCAGTTTCTAAACTGAGGTTGTTGAGACCATCCTTCACTCCAGAGCTCCCTCCACAAGGAAACTGAATGCCCTAAAGTGGAGAGTGTTCACTTCTTGGTCTTCAGCTGGACCTAATTAAGTACCCTGTTAGTACAGCGCTAGAGTTTCTGCAGGAATGATTCATTGCAAGGTTATCCCAACACACTTTAAAGGTTTATGTGGCGGCCATAGTTGTTTACCACATTCCATTGGGTGGACTGTCTTTAAGGAAATATTCTTTGGCAACGCGTTTCCTCCATGGCACATTGAGGCTGAGGCCTGCAGTACGCATTGGGGAACCGGCTTAGGATCTGGCAATGGTGCTGTAAGACATGTCCCTAGGTCCCCTCGAGCCTATTGAACAGGTTCCAGTCAAGCAGTGTTGTAGTCGAGACCACCTCACTCGAGTCCGAGTCGACACCGAGACCAGAGAGAGTCGAGTCCGAGTCAAGACCGAGTCCATAGAGAGTCGAGTCCGAGTCGAGTCCGAGACCAGAGACGGTCGAGTCCGAGTCGAGACCGAGACCAGTGAGGGTTGATTACCTAATTTACTTTTATTTACTTAGAGAAATCCTTTTTTTTTTTTTTTTACTGAATTTACTTAGAGTTTAAAAAATATGATCAGTTTAGGGTAAAAAGGCCACATAGTAGGTGGTGTTAAAAGTAATTTTATTACAATTTGTCATGCGCAGTTGCGCACTAGAAAATCACCAATCACTGGGCGTTTCAATCAATTTAAAGAAATATTTTATTAACATACATTAATAATCATTAAAAAAATATTTTTAATTGAACTCGAGTGGACTCGGGAATAATTCCGAGTCCTAAAAAGAAAAATGTTCGAGTACGAGTCAATTCCGAGTCCAAATGGACACGAGTCCATGACAAGACCAAGACCATTAAAATATGGTCTCGAGACCGAGTCCGAGACGAGTCCGAGTCTCGAGTACTACAACACTGCAGTCAAGTTCCTGACTTAGAAAGCACTGATCCTCCTTGCCATTACATCTCTTAAAATAATAGAATATTTGCAAGCCATGTCGTTTGCCCCTTCGTGCTTGGAATTTGCACCTGGCATGGTGAAGGCTTTTCTTCACCCTAGGCCATGTTACATCCCTAATGTATCAACTAATGTGGCTAAATCTATAGGCCTTCAGTCTTCCTCCCTTTTGGGATCCAGACCAGGAAAAGAGTAATCTGCTAGTCAAGTTCGGGCATTAGATGCTTACGTCCACAGAGCTGCCCAGTCGCGTAAATCTGAACTTTTCGTCTGTTTTGGGTCTCCTGACAAGGGGACGAGTGGATAGTTGAGGCTATCTCTCTGGCATATTAGTCGGCCAGACTACCTTCCCCTTTTCTCGACTAACTCTAACCTTGAAATATAGCTGTTGATATGTTTGTTCAATAAATAAAACATTATTAAATCATTTTACGTTGTTGATTTCCTCATGGGGATATTTGTACATCGAATTCTTGTCAGATTTTTCTATTCTTGTGAGGATCCCCTTAGTCACTTTACATGACAAGGGTCACACCGCACATGCATGTTTATATAGTTAACTACTGCATTAATTACAAGTACATTTACATACATTTACAAGTACAATGTGTATGCTGCCCCACAATTTAATATTTATTATAATTATATATTTTTTTTTACAGCCTTAGGGATCAACACTTCTGTTATTGCTGCTGTGGTGAAACAGTAATGGGCAGATCTGAACCAGCTCAAATAAAGTCAGGGTTGTTATGCAAATGTCCCCATATTCCGTTTTAGTCTCATGATGAATGACTCATGCTAAACTTTGACAAAGTATGAAGTAATAAAAGTTTGACAAACACATCACCAATGCCCATAAAAAGAAAATGACTACAAAAAAGCTTTGGGAAATTTGAGCTGGGATGGGTTTCTGTTTCTATTCTCCCTTTCTGTCATGACATCAAACAAATATATTAAAATTAAAGTTACAGTTACGCTAATGCTATGTCAGTTAATTATATTAACATTTATGTGCGGTGTGACCCTTGTCATGTAAAGTGACAATATAAACTGAAGGTCACCATGTACTCCCGTGTGATGCTGTATTGGTGAAACTGTCACTAAAGCCCTATTTGGATGGGATTAGTTTAACACAGAGAGTTGGGTAAAGTAACAATTACCAAAACTTCTCAGTGATTTTAGTCCCGTCCGAATGTGCCATCTCAGTAATCATTACGGACAATGCCAGTGAAGATTACAGCGACTTTTATCTTGTAAAAAAGCCCTGAAAAATGACCTCAGGTAATACTAATCACATTCGAATAGACCCACTGTAAAAATGTACGTAAATATTCCGTCATTTTCTGTTTAAAATTGTTTTCTGTTTCGTTTTTTTTTAAGAATGGAGGTGCTTCATTCATTCAGTTGCATTCTAGGCGGTGGGGCGAGTCTGTGGCGAAACTCAAGTGTTTTCCAGATACCATTCAGATCAAGAAGAAGGTCGAAAGCACTAAAACTTCTTTTAGTGTTATGTAACCAAGTGGGATAGGACACTAAGCATAAATTGTTTGTGGGTCCTTTAAGAGATGGTGTTGTGACGCTTGATTTACGGCATCACCCAGTGTAATGTGTATGCGCAAGTTTCAGCGAAGAGAGATCAGATTACACGTGAGAGCTCCTGGTTTTGGTATTTTAGAATAAAAACAGGTTCTTCCTGGGACCATCAATGCCAATAAAGAACCCTATTTTTGTATTGGCAAATTATAACAAAATAGTCCCTACTTCCTGTTTACAGTTTTCTTCTATGACAAACTTATTGCACTTTACCCAATTTCAGAGGCCTGTACACACACATATACACCTGATGAAGTCCATTTAATCTGCAAATGTAGATGCTGAAAGTTAGTAAAATAATACCCACTCAGACTGAAGATCATTCTCCTCCTCAGGTAAAGAGCGCTCTTTGCTTGAAGAGTCCTCTTCTGACAGTGAAGACTGCGGACTTCCTTCCATGACCCTTTAAAATCCGAATTCAACTGATTAATAGCTGTAGTTCTAATCCTCTTGTCGTCTTTTACTCCTAAATCCAAATGATGTAAAGTGTGAAGCTTAAAGGCAGTAATGTTATTCTCTGGAGGGGAAGTTCAAATTTAAACCCCCTCATTGACATGCAAGACATCATGGGGTGGGAAGTAATGCTCAGCGTGACACAATAACAAACAATCATATGTCAAATCTGAATGACCTTTACAAACCTTAGTGTAACAATTGTTATTAAACGATATAATGGAAATAATTAATTTAGCCAAATATCTAGCACTATTGTGTGACTTTTTATTTAAAAGGGAGATTTTATGTGTTTGTTATGGTTACTAGATTGAGATACAAAATAAGGAAGTGATTTGCTGGTAGGCTGCAGGGAATTTCCACTTCAGTATCATCTGTTTTCTGTGGGCTTTCTGAAAGACGGCTAAAAGCAGCACGGTTAAAAGCCAAACCACAATGTCTCACTGTTAACATGTGAGTGAAAGGACATTGAGGGGTTATTTTCAACTCCCAGGATGTCTGTTTATTTGTAGCCTACGCAAATGTACCATGGTAACCATATTTTCCACCAAAATTCCAGGTACAAGAGTTGCTGTTACTACTGCAATAGATAGTTGTACATTTATTTGGATTGAATATTATTACTTTTCACGAGTACTGCTGGGAAACATTAAGTTCAATGGTGGATGACATAGTTTCACTGTTCAAACCGAAACTGTAGTACAGTATTTAGTGGAAGAAAATGTTCTTGTAAAAATATAGTGATTTAAAAGAAAACAAAATAAATATAAATGATGAGTGTAAATCAGTAATTTTGCAGATCAGGAACAGCCCATCTACACTGACACCATATTTACACGTTGAGTGGTGCTCAAATGTGTGTTCCCAGACAGCAAACTGACATTGAATCAACGTGGAAACGACGTCTCTCATGACATTGAAACAACGTTGATTTTGCTCTTTGAATTAACGTTGAACCAATGTCAGACGCGGCATTCTTCAAAGCTAAATGAAAATCGGAAATTGGTTTGTTTTCATAACGTTGAAACAACGCTTTGATTTCAAGTTGATTTTCTGTTAGTTTTGAAAGAATGACGCGTCTGACGTTGGTTCAACGTTAATTCGATGAGCAAAACAATGTCAGATCAACGTTGTTTCGATGTCATATTTCCACGTTGATTCAATGTCAGTTTGCTATCTGGGTTGTGCTTTTTTGTTTTATTTTTTATTTGTTTGACAAATTGTAGGTACAGAACAAATAGTAGGACGTATGCTGGTGTTTTATTCTGAACATTGCAGGTGTGATACCAGAGATGGATTACCACAATGGCCACTTTACCCTACCAACGCTCATGATTACTCCATTCATTATGAAGACTTGCCAGTCAGTGTATTGCTGAGTCTAGCATTAGTTAGTGCATTAAAGTCAGCTATGGCTGAAGAGAGGGCTTTAGCAATGGCTTTATTGACCCAATGCACTCAGGACCAAAGACAAAATGTGCTGTGAAATGTACTCTCCTCCCTTCGCTTTGAAACAGAACATACATGAAGGACAAGGATGATTAACTATGACCTGGTGCTACATCAGCATAAAAAATAAATAAATAAATAAAACTCTTTCAGAAAAATCAAAAGGCAAATCTATGGTGTGTTGATAAATGTGAAAAAAAGAACTTTTTTTTTTCATTAAATAATAACGACAGCAAAACGTAGTGTCATCCAGGTGAAAATAGTGTCCTTGTATTTAAATAATCCCAAATCAGAAAATAAAACAAAATTACAAAGAAACTTTTCTAAGCCCCTATAAATAAACAAATCACATACAAAGTCTAAATAAATGGCAGGACACCCCGACACTCCTAAAATATAAGAACCTATTTAAAATCACAAACAAACAAACAAGATTAACAGAAGGTTTGGGGATCTGTCGAGGGGAGGAGGAATCCAGAGCTCTTCAAGCCACAAGGCCAACACCAGAATGAGCTCGACATCTTCGATTAGCCTCTGTAAATCAGGCTCCTCCGTCGGCAGACATACAGAAAAAAAACAACCCACACAAAACAGATACAGAGGATCTTAACAGTGCCATACTTCAAATGGTTCTATTTAGAGCCAGAAATGGTTCTATCCACCGCTTCATATTTGGAACTCCAAAATGGTTCTATATAGAACCATTTTTTTGGTAAAAGGTTCTATTGGCCAAGTACTTAACCCCAGGGTTCTATATAGAACCCAGAGGAACCCTTTTTTAAGAGTGTATAGAACCTTTTAGGGGTTCCAAATACGTAGCGCTGATAGAACCTTTTCTTCTAAGAGTGTTGGAACCCGGCCGGTGAGACAGGATAAAGTCAAAGAACAATGGCCACCGAGCCTGCTGGAAGTCCAGTCTCTCAGTGGGCTGAATGTATTCCAGGTTTCAGTGGTTGGTCCACACCGTAAAAGAAACCTTACTGTAAAGAACTGCCTTTCCCGCAAAAGGCATAACTTCTACCAATGGAAACACTAGGCAAACACCAGCTTTCTGATGGCATAACGATTAGGGTTGGGAACCGAGAACCGGTTCTTTTCCAGAACCGGTAGTGTTTTTGAAAAAATACCGGAACCGTGCAAAATTCCTAAGTTTCGGTTCCTAAAACGGTTCTGGTGCGATATGAGGGCGAAGTCCTGGGAGTAGATTATCCTTTAGCGTCTCACCTCAAGGCGCAGATAGAGAGAGAGAGAGAGAGAGAGAGAGAGAGAGAGAGAGAGAGTAGAGCTGCATGATTAATCTTTAAAAGATTTCGATTCAAACACCTACGCCATCTTATTCCTAAATGATTTTTATTTTCTAAATGAATTCCTAAATGTATTTATTTTTTGCAAAGATCGATTAATAATATGTTGAATTTGTTTACATTACCAGTCTGTTAAACTCATTTTTCATAAGAAATAAACACAAAAGGGATTGTAGATTTTTCTCTTACTAATATTTTTAATTTAATGGGAACCAGAACCGGAACCGGAATCGTTTGGCGGAACCGGAATCGGAACCGGAAAATTTCTCACGATTCCCAACCCTAATAACGATACATGAAAAAGCCCAGGAATTGTTGCAGGGGAAAAGTGTGCTTTCACTTTTAACTAAGCATGAGCAGTGCAGCAAAAATAGACTCGGATCTGGCCCATTATCTGTTCACCGATGCCGACAGTGACGCATTTTATTTCTCATCTCCATAAATATATCTAGTAGTAAAGCTAATGCAAGGGCTAGGAATCAATTAATTCTTTGCTAATATTTCCTCATCATCGTGGAGAGCGCAGTTCGCAACGCTTTCTCCTTTCCACAAGCGCTTGCTCTCCCGTGGTGTCTGTCATTGCTATGCAACAATGAACTTGCGCGCCTGTAAAGACGAGCGTGCCGCATTGCTTTTATGAGCTAATATCCCAAATATTTCTATATGTGGCTCTTTCCTCCTTTCTTATCAATAAGTGGATTTACAACAACCACATCAGCGGCACCGCCGGTCGCAATGTCTCAGTACTTTTATGAAGAGGATGCAACAGCACCGTTGAGAGCTTTGCTGTTGGAACCCCCAGCAACCATGGCAACCAATAAGGTTCGGGAGGGAAGCTTTCTATAACTTGCTTTGACAGTTAAATTTTATTAGGGGAACAAATTAAACACAAAGCAGTCAACAATAAATCAGGGATATATTAATATATTTTCTTAAATACATTTGAAGAATAAAAATAAACTAAAAAGTGTATTTTTATCAAACTTGCCTGGGCGGGCCAGTAAGTAATGTGGGCGGGCCAGTGCCTAGCTACGCCCCTGTAGCACGGTCTGTTTTCAGGTGTGCTTTATGGTTTCCTGGTCAGTGACATCACCCGCCTATGACGTCTCGTCTCTCCATTGAACTGATTATACACGTGCTTCACGACGCAATCACGCAGGGGCGTTCCCACAGCGTATCGACGCAGCGGGAGTTCCCTAGAAAGGGATCTAGAAACTATGCTTCTAACCACAGGTCGAGAGCTGGTGATTTCAGGAAACACTCACTCCTTGAACTATGCTGAAAACAACGAAACTCACAAACATATTTGGCTAACGATGCTTTTGGAAACCTTTCAGGAACATATCACTATAGTTTCAACTTCATGTAAAAATAAATTACACAAACAAAATCATAACAAAGGTTAGTGTATTTTTTTATATATTTTACATCATTACACTCTACAATGTAGTTCTATATAATTTATAAATACCATGTAGCAATATTTATATCAAAAAACAGCATGGTATTACCATCTCATACATCATGGGAAGATCTGGATGTACAGCTCAAACATTATCTAACTCTATTAAACTTCTAGATTTTTGTGCATTAAACAGAAGCTTGTAGAATATCATTTATCTTCATATCAGCAGCACAAGCAGAAATGAATGACACACAGATGAATGACATTCAGTTATCATTTTTGTCTCGTCTCCCTCCTGCTCTTTGAAGTTCGTTTATCTCAATAGCTCACTGTGGTCCAGGCCTAATGCTTCTCTGTTAGGAAGATTCTAATGGGGTCAGCCTTGATTCAATATGATAACACCTTTATTCATTCTTGGAGTTAATCACAGTCTTGGAGTTAATCACGGACTTAAACGAAGTACTTATAGTTTCCCATTAATTGGGCTTTTTAATATGACTGTGTGTTATTATTCAACATGAAAAGATTTATTACAAGAAATGTGATTGTTGCAAACATCCTGTAATGACATAGAAACGTAAAAGTAAAGACATTTTTTGATGAACAAGAAGTTACCTGTAGGACTGCACTTTACATAGCACTATTTAGCACTTTAATAGTACTAATAGCACTTTAATTAGGTTTCTTTGAGTCTTCTGTCCTGATGCTGTGTATGTGTAGGGGTGCGGTGGGGATGAGGGAGGAGGGTTCTTGGGGTGAGGGAATGTTGTAATCTGTCATGTAAAATTGTCTTTGTATATATGTATCAGACATACTGTAGGTGCAGAACAATTTTCCGCGAGGATAAATAAACTTAATCTAATCTAATTTAATTTTCATTGGGAAAAGGTTCTTGGTTCAGATTGTTTTATCACGTCTACAAAGCTCTGGGTAGTTA